TAAGTTGATCAATATAAGTTTTTGGGAGAGATTTTTTAATCAATACAAATATCTATTTTTACCCAAAATATCAAATTTGATGTTTCACATACATGCATTCTTCTAGTTGAAATGACACATATATATGGAAAACATATTTCTCACAAGTTTGTATTTTTTTTTGGCAACATATATGTTGAAATGACACATATTTGTACTTCTTATAATTTTGTATTTGATCAATCCAAAACGCCATGACAACACAATACCACTGTACCAAACATCCCCTTAGAAAGAGATATCAGCCTGAAATATGAAAGCCACCCAATGACTGGTGGGGGGAGGTTTTATTCCATTTTTTTTCACCTCAAGCACCTGCAAGATGATTCAAACACAAACCACTGATGCTTAGGATATGTGAGAGACAGCAACAAGTGCCTCCTTACATGAATGACAATCTTTCCTGTGCATTCCCTGTGCATGTCTCCCTAATCTTCCTCCCTCCTCTCTCTTTGAGTTCTTTCTACAAACAAGTGTAAGCTTTACTCTGTACACCTTTACAGGAAAAGCAAAATAAAGAAAGAAACAAAGTTTCTATACTCCTTCCTTCTTAGACCCATGAAAGGTATTGTCCTTGTTGTTTCTTGTAAAGTTTTTTCTTTATTTATTTTTTATTTTTTATTTTTTACAGTTGGCAAGGTTAACCAAGGCAGAATATTTCTATACTGTTTAAACCTACATGTTAAATCCGGCATTTGAATTCAATACAGCAAGTTTGCAGATTTGTTCTGGTTGAGCTGTAGGGCCTCCATGTTCAGACAAAGTACACTATAGGGGGTTGGAAATGGCCCAACCTGGTATTCAGAATTCCAGAGAACACTTTTTGGCCCATTGCTAATAACTAATAAGAAGTTGAGATTCTTGAAAAGAGATAACTAGATAGAGGGGCAGGCATGGCCCACCAAAAGTTCTGAAAAACCAAACATAGGCCTTATCATGAGCAAAGTTGGGCCATCAAAGTTTTTGGGATTTCTGTGTAGTGGGCCCCCAAGGAAAATTTCCTGGGTCCAATTTGACTAATTATAATTCCTTTTTCTTTCTGGTAATCTGTTTAGCAACAAAAACATGTTCAGTTTAATACATTAACTAGTGGAGATTCGTGCGATGCACAGAATTTATTAAGCGAAAGTTAAATAATAGAAATAGTCATTTACTAAAATACCTGTTATAATTTCATGGATTTATTAAAATCTACCCTATAGTTAGCATTTTACTAAAATATCACTTATAATTTGCAATGGATTTAATCAATCTTCCATTAGATGACAGTGAAAAATGACAGTGTTGACCCTAGTGTTCATTTAAATAAATTTAACCAAAAGAAAATAAAAATAAAATATCATTTTGCCCTTAATAAAACACGACAACCACTCTATTGGCTATATTTGGTCAATTTTGTTTTCTATACAAAAAAGTGTTAACGGTATTTTTGGAATAAAAAATCATGGGTCTAATGGCAAAACAAACACTCATTAATGAAAGGTTGATTAAGTAAATAAGTTGTAAAATATATGGGATGTTTTASTAAAATGAAAACTWTAARGTAGGTTTAAGTAAATATGTAAAACTATAAGGTGTGTATGAATGGCAACGGGGTGGGGATCATATTCCCTGTCCCCGACCTTGATTATGAAATTAACCCCCATCCCCGATCCCCGACAGGGATGGGTTCCCCATGGGGACCCGAATCCCCAAAATGTTTTCAGATAATAGTATTTTTTTAAATAAATTTATTTAAAATAAATAAAAATTTTAAGTTATAGGTAATGTTTTAAATATGTTTTGATATATATATATATATAATATTATATTTAATATAAATAACATTATATATATATATATATAATCGGGGTTGGGGTGGCACGGGGACCTCAATCCCCATCCCTGACCCCAACTGGGGATTCCTATTAAATGTATACATAATATTATTAAACGTTTTCCATTAAATAGCAAAACAAAGTAAATGTATAATAATCATTGAAAATACATTTATCACAAAAAACAATAAATAATTACTAAAATGCAATAAATATTAATTTTAATATATAATTATATAATAAATACAGATTAAGAGTTTAAAATTATCATAAATAAATATTATTTTTTTTGAAATTTATTTTCTCAAATTATTACTTGATATAATTGAAATTAGTTATTTACAATATTATGTAAAAATATTAAATTATTATTATTTTCAGTATTATATTATAATTATTTTTCTAATTTTCAGGATTTTATTTTAAATTTATTACATAATTTCTTTATTTTAAGTATTTAAAATCTAGTTGTGTTAAATATTTTATTATTTAAAATACTTATTTATTTAAATACTTAAATAATATGTAAAATATTTAAAATTTAAAGTATTAATTATTTATTGAATTTAATTATCCATAAAATCATAATTTATACTATTATTACATAATTTCATTATTAATTTTGTAATATATTAAATTATTATTAATTTCAATATTATGTTATAATTAATTTTCTACTTTGAATAATTTTTTTTAAATTTATTATATAATTTCGTTATTTTAATTATTTAAAATCTAGTTATGATAAATATTTAATTTGTTTTCTTATTTTAATTTTATTTATTTAAAGCTATTACATATTATTAAATATTTGAAGAACATTTAAATTGATAATCCAGAAAAAACATAATTTAAATTGTTAATACATAATTTTGTGATATATTTTTTAAAAATATAAAATTATTTTTTTTTGTTTTTAACAAATATTTTAAAGTTATTATATAATTTTTTTATAATATTTAAATAATTCTTAAATTTTTTAATCCAGACTTTCTTTAGATAGATATAGATAAAAAGTAGGGGAGAGGATAAATAGAAATTAGAGATCATTTAGAGGAAAGAGATTATTTAGTTTATTTGGAAAGTGCATCTCATTGGTTGTTTAAAAAATGACATGGAATAAAAAAAATAAAAAACTCAAAAAAATGAAAAAATTTCTTGACCGCTTTGTTTATATATATACAGATTAACCAAGTGATGATCTCCTATTAAATGATGCCCAATGGTAGGTAGAAGCTAAATGATAATGACCCAATGAACAGTACCTTTTTACTACTAAGATGAGGCTTCAACTACAGTGAGATTCCATGTGGGGACAAGTAAGAGAAGGTAGGCTCGAAGCTTATCAGCTTTAATATATTGAAGTTTTTCTTTATTTGGTAGGTAAGGTTATTTTGGTCCATGTAAATTACCTTATATGGATATTGGTGTATCTAATTATCTGAACTCAAAGGGGAAATGCTATGTAAGGGCTTTGTAGCCATTAAAACACCTCAACAACCAATGTAGAATGACAGAAACGGTCATACTGTTAGATAATATATAAAGCATCCCTTATCTTTCTCATGTTAGGATTAGCATCTCTCCACCTAGAATATTGATCAGAATCCAATGCTTTATGAGACAGAAGGTTAAAGGATAGATACATGCTCTCTTGCTCAGAATGTTCAAAGGTTGGGGGAGGAATCCTCTTTGAAAAGGTGAAAACCCTCAACCATGATGGTTTGTCCATTTTCAGAAACCTCTATGATGGAGAAGGTTTTGGGAAATGGAAAGGCTTGGATATGGGCCAAAGGGCCAACTAAATGATCTGGAACCCATAAATTGCCACATGTTCCACAGTTAGCTATTCAATGGGCCCCCAAAAGATTCACATTACAAAATACAATAATTGTACTACTACGAGATAAAAAGATGTCCCACCAATTTTTAGCAATGTTCTTAGACTTGGGTCAGACCGGACGGTTGGACCATCAGAACGGGTAAGTATTAGTCCAAAACGGTTTTTTGCTGTCCGGTTCTTAAAAATGTTGGACCATTCGACTCATGATCCAAGTCAGACAAATTTGATTTTTAGAGTGGGCCCCATTTTGTAAGTGGTCCATTCTGTCTGGTCATTCATTGTCCAACACGTGGCAAATGATGAGGCCCTAGACGACAATTAGGCCTAATGTGGCCCTAGACTGCTAGAGCTAGACCTAAAGATACTCTCCTCGAAGTCGAAGCAATTTACCCGAACAATAAATAATAGCGAGATCGAGAGGTGTATGTGCGCCGAATCATATCAGCGAGGAAAAATGAGAGAAAAGAGGGAGACACAGTTGGCTTTTGTAGTTTCTCCATATCACGGTCACATGGAAACAGCGTGAGAGTATTATTATTTGCTGGCCTGGGCCCTTTCCCTTGTCTCCTACTGGGTCACATGCATGAGTTCCTCATGGTCACGTGACTTTTCGGTACACTCAGCCTGACAATGACATGGGCCTTGGAATCATGGACCCCCATATCTCTCACTCTTGGCTTCTAGCCTTTCTACCACTAAGCTAGACAAATTACATGATTAATCGAGCTCTGATCCATTATAGGTCCCTCCCTGTACGGGCATTCGGATAATATTACCCGGACCCGATTCCCAAGTTACTGACTTCTCACATTCTCAGTTTTCAGTTTTCACTCTGAAGACTTAACTACGCTAAGAGCCCATCTTTCTTACCGGATTGATCCGACCCGCTCCATTGTTGAGATGAGATTCCTTCCTGAACCTAAACTGTCCAATCATGTTCCGTAAACAATGGCAGTTTCCTGGAGGCTTATTGTGTCCCGTTCTGGAGAGCAGTGATAACATATTTCTACGCACGTAATAAGAGTAGATCATGTAATCCCAAGCGTTAGTTTTGTTGAGATGACAGAATAACCAACATCCTCTGATTTTCCTCTATGTATCGTTCAACCGAAGAAAGGCATGTGGATAAATAAACCTTTGAGCTGCGCTGTGGCTTCCTAGAGAAGTACGTTCTCCTTAAATCTTCGCCGTTGGATGCTCCTCGTAACTTACTCTAATTCAGAAAGTCCATTCAAACTGGGGACCATCGGGGGTACGAACCTACGTACATCTTGGAGGACATGAACGTTTTCTCCTTTATAAATCCCCAGTAAAATCGGAAAAATTACAGTCTTTTCTCTCGCTCGCTGTCTCGCTTTCTTGCTCGTTCCTCAAGCCATGGCCGAGAGCTGCAACTCTCGTGGCTTCTCATGGCTTGTGAAGTCCTGCTTCCCCAATCCCCAGCACGAAACTCGACGGGGCCCGACCCTTCTTACCCGAATATCTGATAAGAATCCGCCGGAGAGTCGCCCGGAGAACCGACACCACAAGCACGAAACCACCTTCTCTTTCCTCCCCGATGACATCCTACTCGAATGCCTATCTAGGGTTTCCCCATCTTCCCTCCCCTCTGTCTCTCTCGTCTGTAGAAAATGGTCTCAACTTCTCGACTCCCCCGGATTCTACGATCTCCGCCGCAATCTCGGCCATCTCCGTCAGACGGTTTTCGCCGTTGCCTTCACTGATTACGGCGTGTACGCCACAATGCACCGTATCGGAGACGAAACTTCATGGAGGACCACTTCCTTTCCAGCCGTCGAGATGGTCGCACCAGAAATCTTCGACGGATCGTTCTCCCACGCACGTTTGACGGCGATAGGCCGACACATCTACATCATCGGCCGAAATGCTACGATCCGATACGATACGTGGACTGGAGTAATCACCTCGAGGGCCCCAATGATTTTCCCGCGAAAGAAGTTCGCCGCGGCCGTAGTTGCTGGCAAAATCTACGTCACCGGCGGAGGCGGCGCTTCTCGCACTTCGGCAGTAGAGCAGTACGACCCGGAGACGGATACGTGGCGTGTCGCTGCGGAATCTCCAAGGCGACGGTATGGCTGTATCGGCGCGGCTGTCGACGGGGTGTTCTACTCGATCGGAGGGCTGAAGATAGGCGGAGTCGCGGAAGCTACACGTGGGGTTGGCTCAGAAGCCCACGTATATGCCAGCTCCATGGATTTGTACGATGTGGAGGCGCGTGCATGGTTGAGGAGCCGTGCAGTGCCCGGCGGGGGGTGCGTGGTGGCCGCGTGCGCCGCGGGGGGATACATCTATGTACTCGCGAGCCATGCCGTGGAGCTCTCATTCTGGAGGTACGATGGGCGTAGGAAGAGCGGTGGGTTCGGAGAATGGTGCCGGATGAAGAGCCCGCCGCTGCCGGCGCAGGTGAGACTCGACAGTACAGTTAGGTTCTGCTGCGTGGGAGTTGGTGAGAAGGTGGTTCTGGTGCAGGCGGTAGGGTGTATTGATGATTTACTGAGGCGAAGTGGGAGAAGCTGTAGAGGGTTGAAGGAGGGATTGGTCTTGGTTTTCGATTACGCTGCGGGCGAGTGGAGTAGAGGCGCCGATTTGCCGGCCATTATCCGACGCGCCGCTTGCGTTTGCGTCGAGTGCTAGTGTTTCGTGTAATCGTGTCTCACCCTCTCGAACTCGAAGCGGCATTGCGTTCCGTGGTCGTTCTAGCGCAAGTTAGTATATCCACAGCTAATTTTACTAACCTGCGCGTATAATTATATTATTTAACGATATGGAAATGGGGTGAACCTTGAACGGCGAAGTGAAGCTATGGAGAGCGGAGACCGGAAAGGCAGCAGATACGAGAGTCGAGAGACCGGTTTGTCACGTTGTGTTCACTTCACTCAAGCAAGGTGTAGGTTAGAAAATCTTGGGGGAGTATGCTAACTTGTTCGATGGTGTTTATCGCTAAATGCATGTTTTCTGCTAAGATGTACTTCTGCGTGGTGTACTTTGGGTATGGCGCATGTTAGAAAAGGGGATCCGAGAAATGCGATCCAGAGTCAGCTTGACAGATGGAGTGAATTAGAAGAAAATAATGCAGGATTCGAGTCAAACTTCCGCGATGTAATGTAATTGAGATTATTATTTATTAATCATATTTATAAATAATCTAATGTATATACGTGAGTTGCGGCGCATTTTTAAAATGGTGATTTAGTAGCTTCTATGTTGCGCGAGGAGGAAACAGGGGAGCTTCGTCGCTTTTTATGAAACGGTTGCCACGTGGACAAAGCGTAATGTGTACGGACGGTGGCGACGGGCGGGGATGCCTAACGGCTAGGTAGCTCGAAAATCGGAACGTGTGATACGAGGAGTCAGGAGGCCTACAAATTTTTGTAATATCGGAGAGGTATGGTACCGAAAAACTTGAACCAATCTGAAAGTGGAGACTGGCGAGTGGAGACCAATTGGGTGATACATGTTGATTGCTTATCAATATATTCGGTACCGTAAATCCGTAATCAAGACCTTTTGTCTAGAAGACTCGAACCAATCCAATGGAAACAATGCCTGACTGCATGCATAATGTTCATATGTTCACGGTGGGGCCCACCGGATCCAAAAGGTGGGACCCACATGTGGACATGAAACCACGGGGTAGGGGGCCAAATGTGGGACCAACAGCACATGTGGAACAAAAAGTAGGGCCCATATATGGTTTGGAGCCCACACGGACCGATTATATTTCCAATTGCATTTCCCTAATGTGGAACAATTAGTACGGCCCACATGTAAAAAAATGGATGAGAACTGACTGAATCAGAAGGGATAAATTAGACTTTACGTCAAAACAAAACAAAAGAAGCTTTAGAAAAATTATATAAAAGAAAGCATTAGGGAGTGTTTAGTCAGTGTGCATGATTTTGTTTATCTCTTTGTTTTGTTTTTTTCTTTTTTTTTTTTTCCAACAAGAGAGACACTTTGCATGTGATTTAAGTTTTTAATTACCCAATTGTCCGCTCTCGCATTTGGGTCAAAGAAAATTGAATAAGAGGGAATCATTGGGGTGGTCATGCGAATTGGAATAAATTTTGGATTAAATGTGGTAGAAATAGGAGCAGATTGTAAGGTTTTGTTTGGTTAAAATTCTGTTCCAAAGAATTATCATTTGAAGAACGAGTTTTAAGTGAAAATGGTTTTTTTTTTTGTGACAAAGAACCAGAATTAATTCTTTGAAAGCAAGCCAAGCACAGCCTAAATATCCTTGCTAAGATTCATTAGGGCTTGTGAATTTGGGCTTCATCAAGCCTAGCCCACGGACCTTCCTGCTTAGTTGAGAGTACCTTTAGGCCCAGCACCTACCCAACTACTCCGGACTTCCAGAGTCCAAACGTAAGGCAATCTTTGTATATGGGTCCAGGGTTTCGATAATGACAGCTTTGACAGGAAATCCAACTACCCTGTGGATGAATCTATGAAAGCTATGTATCCCCTCCCTCTTTTTGAAAATAAGGACTTGGGAGTAAAAAATTTAGGGAGGGTTGGACAATATGATTGATTTTGTTTTTTAAAACAAAAATAACTGCCACGTTAGCAAAAGCATATAATTTTGCTGATGTGGCAGTTGCTTTTATTTCAAAAACAAAACCAAAAGTCCATGCATATAGATAAACAAATACCCGAAATTATGAGTTAAACTAATAAAAGAATATTTTAAGAAAACCATGCTTAAAAGAGTATGCAAATTATTATCTTTGGATGCACTCTTATCTTTCACATCATGTAAAAAGGTTTATTAAAATTCATTTGAAGCAATGATATCTCATTTATTTGGTGCATTCACCTATTTAAAAAAAAATGAATTTTCTTTCAAATTCAATTCTTCAAAATGTTAGATGACCAACATAGGAAAATTTGATATTTTAGCCTATTAGAAAGCACAGGAAAATAATTATCCAATGCTTGTCACTAACGCATGTGATTTACTAATCCCTCTGATGTTCATAGTAGCACTGAAATATTATTTTAGCATAGGAAATAAAGTGTGAGAAATTGATTGGATGCTGAAGATGGACTGCACAATAAAGGAAGATATGACACGTCATCCAATATATCACTAAAAGAAGAGGAAAGTGGGACTTGGAGAAAATTTTTTGGCTTAATTGTAAATTTTTAGAATTTCAATTTTATTTGTACCTTGGAAGTAGTTTGTAGAGTTTATCAATTCCATTGCAAAATTTTATTTTCTACTTTGTTATAGAATTTTTTCAATTTCATTGTAATTTTTCAATTTTTTATCATTTTATATTTTTATTGTATGAATTGAGTATTCATGTGGAATAAAATTTTAAGATGTTTTTTTTTTCTTCAAATTGTTGTTATAATCATTGAACTTGTCATTTTTCCTTCAATTTTCATTATTTTTTGAGTTTTTGATTTTTTTTTTGTAGTGAAAACAAAAAAGAAGGAAAATGAAATAATATGGTCCGGCTTGGCCCAGCCTGGCCTGTGGGCCACGGAAAATGTGGGCTGTGCCGGCATGAGCTGCTACAGTGTAGGCTGCATGAAAATGTCAGCTGTACCAGGAAACATGGTCCACATTACACCTTTAGTAAGCTCTCAAATAAAACATCACTTACAAAAAGAAGGGTTTTAGGCTTTTAGCCTTGGATCACTCTGATTTCATTTCGTTCTCAAATTCTCATCATAAAAGGGGAAAATCTCTTGGAATAATTGCTTACATTGGAAACATTAAAAGCTACAACAAGTAAAGAAGCTCACTAAAAGGGTTATTCATACTTCAATCAAGTCTTAATGTTTGTCACTGGATATTTCTGTTGTGACGATGTATGATTTTAAATATTTTTTTTATAAAACTTTGTTAATTTATAATACATTTCCTTATTTTCCTTTAGCAAGAAAAAGTACTGCCTCCTCAAATTAAAAGATAATATATATATTTATTTATTTATTTATTAAGTTTCCTCAAACATCCCCATGCTCATAACCCATTACAATGTGTATAGGAATGCAATTTTGGCGGGCCCAAGCCAAGCCCAAATTGATCTACCTTGCAATTTATTGAGGTTGGGCTTAGGTTTTTGGTTCTCAGGCAAAGCGTGGGCCCAAATAATACTTTGCATTTGCTTACCTAAGGTAACTCCAATCCTAACCCAACTATACACATACATAATGTATATATTGTACATACACACATGTATATCAAATGTTAATACTGGTTAGGCTTGGATTGGACAACTCAGGGCTTGATCCAGATTCCAGCCTTGGGCCCAATTCTTAGATTTGGGTTTGGGTTGATTCATACCTGGCCCAGCCCACCAAACTTACGCCACACCAGGAAGAGCACATCTGCAGCCTTGGTCATAGAATTCCTTTGCGATCCACCAATAAAACACAGACATAAATGAGAAATCAGTTCATGTTATGTTCTGAATTTTATTTCAATGGTTGTATGTCAGTATTTCATTCATTGGAGGAGGGGATGTCAGAAGAGAGTAATGCTAGAAGATGTAACCAAATATTGCCTTAATTCTTGGCATTATTTGAGGTATCATTGAATTGGGTTCTCCCTCTTGGGCTGAACGCTGAAGCAGTCCAACTTAGGTGGATAACATGGAAATACTAAAACCCGATATCCTGGCTTTATAAATTAACAAAATATTAATGAAATAACAAAATAGAAAAGAAAGGTCGAAAAAGAGAAGAGATCGACTCCTCTCTTTGTAGATTTACGTATAGTATTTGAAGAAGACAGAAAAAACTTCATATTTCCATGGGTTTCTCGACGTTCTAGCTTAGAAGACACAGAGCCTTTCTCTTGTTTTCACCTGTAAGTTCCAACTCTTAGAACCCGATAAAGGAAATCCTTTTGAGCTAATTTATTGCAGTTTGGTTTATCTATATCCCTCTTGGATTCTTCTTGTCATTGATGTTGTTTTTTTATTTGATCTTGTATCTCTTTTTTTTATTGTTTTTGTTAATAATTTATGGATCCCAACACATTAATAAGAAATTGGTTTTTTTTTTTCATTATTCTTTGATGATTGATTATAGGTAATTGTACCTAAGTTCTTTTCTGATCTGATTGTTGTTCTTGATGGTTGATTCGGATGAGAACAAGCCATTTGAATTTGGGTCTGATTCAAACCTCCATGAAATTCCATAAACCAAACTAAAGTTGCGTTACCAAAAAAATAAAATAAAATAAAATACAAAATGAACAAACCAAACAAAATAAGAAAAAAAAATTGTCCTATTTCCAACTGAACCAACAAATTACCATCCTTCTGCTTTTCATACAAAAGAGGAGATAGTTTAGAAACTTAGTTCAGTGCAATCCCATAATTTCTAAAAAGAGATCTTAAAATAGTGAAGGATATCGACTTACACTCTTAAATTTGTGGTGCTTCCAATCTTTTGTTTCAAATTAAATCCGCCCAATATACCTCAAAAAAAAAAAAATCCTCCCAATCAAATGGTATTTTTAACGTTTAAATCAAATCACTTGTCTAGCATTTGGGAGTGAAAAATGAGAACACAACACCTCATTAGGACTTTTTTGCGACCCACCGATTAATACATGGACAAAAATAAGTAACTAGTTGATATAATTTTCTGAATTTATTTAAACTAGAAAGACACTAATGCAATGCAGGGAAATAGGTTTGAAGATCTATATTTGAAAGAAATATGAATAAGAATTTGTTTTTTTTCCTGATTCTTGATAATTGATGGGTAATCGTACTTGAGTTATATAGGCTGGGTTTAGTCTGATGGACATGGGTCAGAAGTTATTGGTTTAAATCAAGGCATGCAAAGTAAATCAAGTAATTATTTGTTCTAAAAAGTTACAAATTGTAGATTGCACATCAGATCAGAAGTAATTGGGTCAATTCCGATTTTCTTTTTTCCCCCTCTTTCTTTTGGTTTGATTTGGCTCTTTCTTAGAAAAGATACATCTACGTTTTACAAATAAAATTATTTAGAAACATTTATTTCTTTCAACAAGCTTTGGTGAGGACAAGGACAACTGCCTAAGTCTCTTTTAATTTGTAGACATCTCTAATCTCATCTGCATGTAGTTGTATTTGTCATTATCATCTAGCTACTTGAAGATGTCCCACTGAACTTGAAGAGGGATTTTTCAAGAACCTAATTTGATTGGTTTGTTCTAAATTTACTAATAATTGTTTCATTTCTTCCCTAATATCAGTTCCATGGAAGTGAAAACCAAGAGAAGAGCTGTTGCTGAGAGTGCAGATACTGGAGAAGGCTTGGTTCTTCTCACTTCAATTGGGAATGGAGAGGATTTGGGTCCTATTGTCAGGCATGCTTTTGAAATGGGGAAGCCAGAGTCTCTCTTGCATCAACTCAAGAGTGTTGTAAAGAAAAAGGAAGTTGAAATTGAGGAGCTATGCAGGCTCCACTATGAGGAATTCATCCTTGCTGTTGATGAGCTCCGGGGTGTCTTGGTCGATGCCGAAGAGTTGAAGGGTGAACTCTCAAGTGACAACTTTCGGCTACAGGAGATTGGGAGCTCTTTGCTTTTGAAACTTGAGGAGCTCCTTGAGTCATACTCAATCAAGAAGAATGTCACTGAAGCTATAATGATGTCAAAGAACTGTGTTGAAATCCTATACCTCTGTGTGAAGTGCAATGAGCATGTAAGTGAAGGTCGGTTCTATCCTGCTATTAAGACTCTTGACAAAATAGAGAAAGATTTCTTGCAAGATGTTCATGCAAAGACCTTGAGAAGGGTGATTGAGAAGAGAATACCAGCAATAAAATCACATATTCAGAAGAAGGTATGTACTGAGTTCAATGAGTGGTTGGTTCATATAAGGAGCAAAGCTAGGGAAATTGGACAAACAGCCATAGGACAGACTGCATCAGCTCGTCAAAGGGAAGAAGAGATGAGGGCTCGTCAGAGGGAAGCTGAGGAGCAAAGCCGTGCAGGGTTAGGTGACTGTGTATATATGCTAGATGTTGAGGAGATAGATGAAGAGTTAATTCTCAAGTTTGATCTTACTCCTGTCTATAAGGCATTCCACATTCATCGTTGTCTTGGGATCCAAGACCAATTTCGAGACTATTACTATAACAATCGGATGATGCAACTCAATCTGGACTTACAGATATCATCAGCACAACCATTTCTTGAATCCCATCAAACATTCCTAGCTCAAATTGCAGGGCACTTCATAGTGGAGGACCGTGTCCTACGTACTGCTGTAGGGCTATTGTCCTCTAATCAGGTGGAGACCATATGGGAAGCGGCTATTTCTAAGATCACATCACTACTGCAGGAACAATTTTCTCGTATAGATACAGCAAGCCATCTGCTTCTGATCAAGCACTATGTGACTCTTGTGGGAGTGACTCTGAAACACTATGGCTACCAAGTTAGTCCCTTACTAGAGGTTCTTGACAACAGTAGGGACAAATATCATGAGCTTCTGTTAGAGGAGTGTGAGCGCCAAATGGTTGATGTTCTTGCAAATGATACTTATGAGCAGATGGTAATGAAGAAAGAATACGAGTACAACAAGAATGTTTTGGCATTTCATCTCCAAACCTCAGATATAATGCCAGCTTTCCCTTACATTGCACCCTTCTCGTCCACTGTTCCTGATGCTTGTCGCATTGTTCGATCATTCATTGAGGATTCTGTGAGTTACTTATCTTATGGGGGCCGCATGAATTTCTATGATGTTGTGAAGAAATACCTTGACAAGCTGTTAATAGATGTGTTGAATGAAGCTCTGTTGAGAACCATCTACAGTGGTACAACTGGTGTTTCCCAAGCAATGCAGATTGCTGCCAACATAGCTGTTCTTGAGAGGGCTTGTGATCTCTTTGTGCAGCAGGCAGCTCAACATTGTGGGGTCCCTGTTCGAACAATTGAGAGGCACCATTCTAGTTTAAATGCCAAGGTGGTTCTGAAGACATCAAGAGATGCAGCTTATCATGCTCTGTTGAACCTTGTTAACTCTAAATTAGATGAGTTCATGGCACTAGAGAGTATCAATTGGACGACAGAGGAGGTTCCACAGAACCCAAATGACTATGTAAATGAAGTGGTGATATACCTCGACACTGTCTTGTCCACAGCTCAGCAAATCTTGCCTTTGGATGCCTTATTCAAGGTTGGCACTGGGGCACTTGAGCACATCTCCAACTCAATCGTCACAGCTTTTCTATGTGACAGTGTGAAGAGGTTCAATGCAAATGCCGTCATGGGCATTGATATTGACCTGAAGGTGTTTGAGAATTTTGTAGATGACAGGTTCTATACCACTGGACTGATTGAGATGACCAAGGAAACTAGGCTAAGAGATTTCTTGATAGAATCTCGACAACTGGTTAACCTTTTATTAAGCAACCAGCCAGAGAATTTCATGAATCCAGTGATAAGGGAGAAATACTACAATGCACTAGACTATAAAAAGGTTGCTACCATTTGTGAGAAGTTTAAAGATTCTCCTGATAGGTTGTTTGGAAGCCTTTCAAATCGAAACCCAAAGCAAAATGCTCGAAGGAAGTCTATGGACATGCTAAAGAAAAGATTGAAGGATTTCAATTGATAAGACTACAAGTGTGTTTTTTAATTTTCCATAAGGATTTACTTTTAGACTTTTTTTGTTTGTTTAGAATTAAAAGATTCTTTTTCTTTTCATTACATTTCTCTTTTCTTTCTTGCTTTACTGTAATTTCCATGTTTAAGTTAGGTACTATACAAATGGAGATTATTTGCACATATGAGATGAGAATGATATAGACGAAGTGTTGATATTGATAAAGGCAGATATTGTTCAGTTTTTGTTATTTGCAAGTTAAAACATAAAATCAATTTGTAGGTCTGATCTGTTGCAAATTGGATCAAACACGTCATTCAGTTGTTAGGAGGCTTCATCAGAGCACCAACAAGCTGTTCTGAAGCTCCATGATTGGCTCAATTTCTCTGTAGATACAGATGTTTTCACCAATCAAAATGTCCCCAGGGATGCCCAATTTCTTGGAGTTAGGGTTGAAATTTATGAATTCGACTTTACTTCCAGTTAGGTTAAAATTGACCCCGATCTAACCTGAACCAGACTCTATAGTATATTATATATAAATATATGTTATATATGATATCATATATTGATTTGTTTATATGCATGATAGTTGTATGGCCCCTACTACATATTATTATTTATTTCTTTTAAAATAATCACTTCACTAAATCCTAATTGAAAATACCAAAACCTTAAACATTTTTTATGTTTTTTGAATATCTCCTCTTTATTATTTGCCACCCATAATTTAGTGCCATAATTAAATTTTGTACTTAAATAACCAATAAAAACATTAACAAATAAGTACTAATAAAACATATGATTAATATATATAGTAAAAATTGAGTTAAAATATGAGATTTAGAAATTCTAAGAGATTTTAAAGGATGGGAAGAAGGTTGGATTGGGCCCAACCCGAAGTCAACTTCGGGGTTGAATTGGGTTAGGATTGAGGGAATTTAGTTGGGATTAAGATTAGGGTTGGATAGGTTGGGTTGAAAGTCGGATTGAGTTAGGGTTAGAGTTGGGATTTAGAACTTAGGGTGGGTTGGGCTCAACCCGAGCTAACCCGGCATAACTTGCAGAGGAATTTCCTTAAACCAATTTCTTGGCTGGCAAGCCTTACAGCTTATAATACCATTGTTGTTGCCAAACTGTGTGAGCTATTAAAGAATTGCTTCTCTGTCTGTTTGGAATATCATTTATTGTTGCCAAACTATGGGCGACTTGGGAAGGTCTTCGCGTCAAGCAAACTCTTTGATGACTTGGGGTTAACCTTGCTTCGCAATTTGCATGTGTTTTCACTTTTCATAATTATTTGGTAGATGATGGGCTTGCCAAGTACTGTATTATCTTTTATGTTTCTGGGTGCTTCTCTAATCAAATCCAATGAAGTGCAAACAGAAAATTACTTGATTTAAAGCAAAATGGTCTCCGGTTCAACCAAAAAGAATATGAAATACATAGATCGTAAAGAAAAATTGCATTTCATCACAAGTCACAACTGGTTTGGTCACAATAGAGTTCTTTCCCTTTCCAGAATAGATGGTAACTCTGTTGGGAAGACTACTGACTGTGGCTGAGGCAGTGGGTAGGGACTCAGAACGGAACGGCCCGGCGCCGGCGGATTGACCTCCTCCTACTCTTGGGCTTCAAATTCCGGTGCCCAACAGAGGAAAGACGCGCCACGCGACTGCATCAACATCAGCTCATAGAGCCTTCTTCAGGACTTCAACAAGGCATGAATCGGTCCATGAGCATACGAACTGTGGCTTCTGAGAGGGCAGTCCCTTGGAAAGCTGGCTCAGATCGAACAGGTCTAGAAAGCGACCCGAAGAACGACGACGAAGAAGAAGCAGAAGAATTAGGCTTAGCCTCTTGTTCTACGACTAGAGAGCGTGGTCCCTTCTGTGGCCGGACCTTCTCCCCCACCTTGGAGACGAGCTTGGTCATCCACACTCCTACAAACTCTGGCATTTTTTCTTGATCGAGTTATCTCTGAATCTTGGCTTAGAAGAGTAAGTAAACAAGGCCAAACTATATATAGAAGTAGAAGCATGAGGCATGAGGGGACTGAGGATAAAAGTAAAAAACCAGGTTCTTTTCCTCAATTCTAGAGAAGCTGTAGCTCTGTGGGTGATGAATTATTTTGTCGAAAAAAACCAGTGTTCGGATTGAAATCAGTGTGTTCACGCCCCCAGATATGGTGGGTGTATCGAGATGAGCGGGGCATATGGCGTGCTTTTTGTAGTTTTGTTGGTTGAATGCGGAAGCCATTCTATGGGTGCAAAAGCGACAGTCGGTGGCTCCCAGTATCAGAAATGACCAAAAGAGAAAAAGCTCAACAGTCAAAAAAAAAAAAAATAGTAAAAAGAGATAAAGGGAGGGTAAAATGGGATGGATCTTGGGCCGATCCAATTGTCACTCGTTCTCATCCGAAAAGGGTCTCGTTATTGAGATCCATTTCCAGTATATTTCGATCGGATGTATGATACTGCTATAGCTATCAAAGAGTCGGGTCGGGTCGGGTCGTTGTATGCATGATCCACAACCAATAAATAAATTTGGAGAATTAAACCCAGACCCGACCCATAAGTCACCTTATTACCTCACCCGTTGCTCCATAGAAAGGTGGAGCTTTCATAAAAAATAGGTGGGAGAGTATCTACAACTTCAATGATTTTAGAATTTTTTATGACATATGATTAAGAAAAATTTCATGTTATTGGATTCAATTTTTTAAACTTTTTGATATTTTTTATGATACTCCTATTACAATTATGTCTTTGAAGAGCTAGAGTTTAAGAGGATCTGTACTATAAAGTACCTCTAATAATTAATATTTTATAAATAAATATCTCTAACAAATCAATAAAATCTAGGGCCACAAACGGATCCAGTCAAATTGGATAAAGGTAGATTCAAGTTTGATGTGTTTATATTTGAATTCAAATCAGATCATATCCATCACAGGTATATCGAATTTGAATCGAATTCAGATTGTAATAAAATATTGAACAGTATAAATTAATTAAACTAAAAATTATGAAAATATTATATGTTATTAATAAAATGAACTAAAAATGACTTAAATATATATTGTATTTCATGAACAAAATCAATTGAAAATTACTTGATTAAACTTAAATGACAATTTAGTAAAAATGCAACGTTTAAACCATCTTTACTAATATACTAGCGGGTATCTATACGATGCACGGGCTTTGTTAAAATAATTTGAGGCAAAAGGAGCTAAGGGTGCAAGTTAGGTGGACCTAATCCAAGCCCAACCCTACTCAACCAAAACTTTTGCATAAGTTGGGCTTGAGTTTTTGAACTTCATGCTGGGCTTGGGCCAAAAAGCTTAGGCCAAACAAAACTCAGAGTAGGCTTAAGTTGAGGCCTTGGGTACTGATTGGATGCAATCTAAGCCTGCCCAACATTTTATGTTATACATATCTATATATTATCAATCTATTTTACAAGGAAATTAAGCTAATCGATATGCCCAAGCCCAAACCTAGCCCAAGTAGGGATGGCAACGAGGTGGGTTCAAGAAGAGTTATGTAAATTCTAGACTCTACCTGCCTCCCTAAACCTCCCAACCCATACCCACCCCAAAACCCAAATTGTGTTGGATTTTGAGAATCCAAACCCTCCCTGCAAATGAAAATGCAAAACCCTCATCGACCCCACATTCAAGGGTAGGGGTGAATCGGGTGTAGAACTCGCATCTAATTTCCTATTATTTCTTGTTATATATAACTAATAAATTAGTAAAATAACATAAATAAACAACAAAGTACCCAAATATTTGATTAAGACGTAAAAAAACACATAAACTATCAATTATCCTTCACATCAAAATCTCAAAATATTATTAAATTCAACACCAAGTGTACAAAAGTTTATATGCTTTCCAACAATATCTGGGTTGGGGACCGGAGGGTCGGGTTTAGCCTAATACCAGACCCTACTCATAATGTATGGGTTGTAGAATCCCAAAACCTAACTTTCCCCAAAACCCATCCTTAAAGAAAAAACCCGCCCCATTGGGTACCCCCATTGGGTAGGGTAGAAATTACTATCTGATGAGACTAAAAGGAACCCTATTTTTGTCCCCTAATCTTCATCTTTTTACATTACTTTAGCACTTAAATGAACTCATTACACTTGTATTTCGATTCCGGGCAATAAAGAGGGCAATTGGAGAAAAACAAGGCAAATCGGGTGATTTTGCATAGTTTCGGCGACAGTCGGTAATCTAGGCCTAACTCTTAATTCCAAACTCCAAATTAGACAATTCAAGAAGCATTAGAAAGATGAAAGGAAGGCTCACAACTTTTATGTTTTGGGTTTCGACAGATTCGACGCGAATCGAGTACGAAAATGAGCCTGAAATCGGAGCAAGTTCGCAGCCAGGCCCATTTCACAACTTAAGCCCAACTTGCAGAAGTACCTTGAAGCAATCCAAGTTTTAAAGCAACCCAACTCGAATTCAAGAGTTAAGAGTCCGAATTTCGAATGTAATCTCCAAGGATAGAGATTAGATCATTAGATAAGAGATAGGATATGATTAGTTCAAATAAGATCAAAACTCCCTAAAGATAAGATGATCTCCTAGATGGAATTGGAAAACAGCCATCTCCTTTGGTTATATAAAGAGGGGGACGAACCAGCTCTAGCATCACTTACTCCCAGATCCAAGAGATCATCAAGAAGACCAAGAAGCTCAAGAAAGCAGTTCGGCTATGGAGAAGCAAGGCATGGAGATTGCGCAGATCATGAGCAGCTAAGCTTCTTTTTCTGGTTCAAGGGGGGAGGT